TTTTTTTGGGCCATCCGGTTTGCCGGTTGACCCCCCCTGGGCCGGTCCGGACCCGGTTGGACCGGGTCAGCCCGACCGGCCGGTCGCCGGCCCAGCCCTGATTTGCACCATCTAACGCCGAGATAGGTATACAGAAAACGACTTGCCAATAAATCAACGACCGTGATTTTATCAAGGTCACAGGGTGTCAAATACTGAGAATCAAGTCACGTCATGACCACTGCCATTCCTTGTGTCCTTGAGGGTGTGGACGAGGACAATTCAGTTTACACGTTTGCAAATCATGATGTTTCTTCTCTTACAGTCAATGGTGCTAATCTCACTTCTACCCCTCTTTGCCTGTAGTGGCCCTAATTTTCTTTAGTTCACTTTCCCTCCTTCGAATGCAGATCGAGGAGGTCACATTCCTCTGGATACACACTTGACAGGATCAGCTTGGATGCGTACAATTGTAAGCATGATAAACTGGCTATAAAAAATAGTTAAAAAAACATGAGATGGTGCCCTTGTAATAACATGCACCTAAAGCTGTTGAAGCACAACTCCAATCAGAAGGCATTTGTTTTTTTTTCTTCCACACAAGACCTTTAAATTCATTCTATGGGATGGAGCACACCACCATGGGATTACTTTGTTGTTTCCGAGAAACAAACCTGATAGTCATCGACTGTGCCAACTCTCACTGATGCAAGACTTCGAGACCGCAGAAGCATCCGAAGCTTTTGAACCTGCGCCATCACAGACAACAACACAGATCGGAAGGCGTCTTAACCAGAGACCCTGTGTGCAAAATACTGGACCGAAGTTTTCGTAACAGCAGGCTCAGTACAACAACGCGCCCGTTTCTTTGAGTGAGAAAGATGGTTGTGAAATGAGGGAAAAGCACCAGAGGAACATTTCCAGCATCCTGCACCTGTGACACAATGTAGAGGAATCTCACAAAAGTTAAAAACACAAATGGGTGATAGGTCTTTGCAGTAATCTTGAAGCAATAGCCACTGCTCCGCACTCCACGTTGCATTGCCTCTCACTCACCCTCCTTCACTCAGCACAAGATGGGGAACGAGATGTACCACCTCCGTACCTGGCGGCGGAAAGGAGCCATGACACCTATGTCTCCAGGATTGACGTGTGAGCATTGAAGTAATCCTTCCAGCAATTCAACAAGTCTTGAAGCTTCAACTGTAAGACGCCAAAGCAATGACAGGATCACCATAAGCATTTCATGAACCCTGCTCATTTGAAACCCCGCTTAAACCAGCCCTTTATACTCATCTACCTAAAATGCAGGTATGGGCGACAATCACGTAACTGGAATGCAGCAATAGATCACCTTTACACAACCAAAGTGCATTCCATGGTGTCATACCAATAAATTATAACAATACAGATATAAAATTTAATGGATAAGAAACTTGGTACTTAAACAACCAATGCTCCCGTTTCAAGGTTCCAGCCTTCTATCAAGCTTCATGGTGGCTTCAGCACACATAACCTAAGGAGCCAATCTGCACCCCGAAGAACGTTCTGGAAGATCAGGGTCTGGCAGGAAAAATAGGCGAAGACAAGCGAGGCTGAGCGTAGTTGAAGTCAACAGGCACCGGGTGCCATAGCTGTAGTGTACCATAGGCGAGAGAGAGAGAGAGAGAGAGAGAGAGAGGGAGAGAGAGAGAGAGAGAGAGAGAGAGAGAGAGAGAGAGAGAGAGAGAGAGAGAGAGAGAGAG